AAGTACATCACATATGACATGACGGGATAATGACTTAAAAGGGTAATATATTTTTCGATTTTGTACATATTTGGTCATTGAGTTTTTTTCTTCTACATTTACTCATTCAACTTGTTAAACTGTACACATCCAGTCCTTATGACCGGTTAGTCCAGGTTAGCCGGAAAAAATGACTTATTAGGGTAATATATTTCTCATTTTGTACACATTTAGTTCTTAATATTTTTGTACACATTTAGTCCTTATTTTTTTTGTTTCAAAATAAGTCATTTTTTGTTTTTGTACCAATTCAGTACTTATGAATGATTTATTTAAGGTTTTTCTCATGACATCTAACATGAGACTATCATTGATCACAGAGACGGTTCTCTTTGGGTGCCCGCAGTGATACCGACAACCCCTGCTTTTTATGTACGCGGTGTAAATTTTTCAATGTTTTTCGATTGTTTTTCTTTTTTCTACTTACCGGCAACGCCTACTACAGACTGACAACACCTACTACCAAATCTTACGTCTGTCCCTGGTTGATGATGTGTTTGGGGTTGTTGATGCTTATGTCCATCGCGGCCTCGACTGCTTTGTTGCATAGGTCTTGTGGTTTAGCTTAGGTTTTGTATTCCAAATGTCGTAACTTCTTCATATGATATCTAATTTTAACGATCTTTATGTCTATGTGTTCGTTTTTCAAGTCTGCTATAAATTTCGTTAAGATTACTCCCGTTAAAATATAATTTGTTTTTACTTACAATTTTATAAAAAAACATTCATAAATACATTCATAAAAAAACATATGGATATAAAGATCGTAATTAAAGAATATATAACTTTTTAACGGGATTAATCTAAACGAAAGTTGTAGTAGACTAAAATACAAACATATAGATATAAAGATCGTTAATATCCGAGATAGTATGAAAAAGTTATGATGTTCAAAACGCATGACCTAAACAACCAAATAGTCGAGATCACGATGAACATAAGCATCAAAAGCCTAAAACACATCGTTAATGATTGTTCCATGTAAGATGTTGTGAGAAAAACTTAAAGAAAACATTCATAAGTATTGAATGAGTATATATATAAATATATATATATATATATATATATATATATATATATATATATATATATATATATATATATATATATATATATGTAACAAAAAGAAAATTAAGGACTAAATGTGTATAAAAATATTAAGAATTAAATGTGTACAAAATAAGAAATATATTACCCTATTAAGATATTTTTACCGGTTAACCTGAAATAACCGGTCATAAGGATTAAATGTGTACAGTTTAACAAGTTGAAGGGGTAAATGTGAGCAAAAAATAAACTCAATGACCAAATGTGTACAAATCAAAGAATATATTATCCTTTTAAGTCATTATCTCAAGACATGACACATATCCTCACGATTTATTTTCTATTTAATGGGCCTTAGATGAGTTTAGAGTGCGTTAACCAACGATCATCTATCATATATATGTCTATAGATATCAATTAAAACGATCATTTATTTATAGTTTCAAAAAAACATGTTTTATTTTCACGTATTTTAAAAGCTAACCTGCTATTTTGAATGCACCATTCTGGACTCCATGACAACTAGACATGACTCATTCGAGTGGTTCCTCTTATATAAAAGGAGTTCACCTCCTATCGGAACGTTATTTTGGAAAATTCTAAAAATTGCGAACTTATTATATATACTATTAATCATTAAAATGTTGAGAAACAGACTTAAGTTTTCATTTTCATAAAAACGCCACAGCTCTTCGCTTTTTTCCTTTGCATCTTATCCGTTCCTCTAACCTCACCCTAGCTAGTTTACTCACTCCACCGCCGAACACCTCTAATACGGATGCTTCTAGATTATATCCTTCTTCTACGACTACCTTCCACCGCTACCTTTTCATCTCTCAAACTGAGTCGCCGCCGATTCGATTCATCCTAATCGCCTACAACCCTAGACGGCGTCGTTCAACACCGACGCATCCCTGCTTTGACTTCTCTGTCACACCCCAAAACCGAGAACGACGGAAACATTCTGGGGCGAGGACGTCATGTAAAGTATCACAACAATGCAAAGTAGTAAACAAGCAACAACATCATCCACTGCATTAATAGTATAATTTTAAATACAAGTGTGTTCTTTCATAGAATAAGACAATATAATGAATATTCAAAATAAAAGACAAGTCTTGACTGCTCCGTCTTCACAAAACCTTGTCGTCATACATGTCTATTGGTGACCTGAGAATACAAGTTATTTTGAAAGCAAGTATCAACATAAAGCTTGTGAATTCATAAGTATTTAATGTCATTATTTGTATAACTATCAATGAAAATGTTTATAAGTAATTGTAAACGTTTAAACTTCCTATAAAATCTCATATTTTCTACTAGTATAAAAGGAGCTATCTACCGAGACCCGAATGAAAGTAAGTAAGTAGTCTTCTAACGAGACCCGTTGAAAGTAAGTAAGTAGTCTTCTCATGAAACCTGCTGAAAGTAAATAAGTAGTCTTCTCATGAGACCCGCTGAAAGTAAGTAATAATGTGATTGATAGTCCCCATACTAAAAGTTCTCCATATTAAGAGATTTTGGGAACTAAAGGTGACTTCCGCAACGAATTGCTAGGTCGAATAATCCACATTAATGTTACGAAATCATATATATATACCCAAAACTATACCTATATATATATATATATATATATATATATATATATATATATATATATATATATATATATGAACGTATACATTTGCTACCCAAAGGTACTGAACTGACTGATTAGAACCATTATCTACATATGTATACATAATATATAAGTAAGATTTAGACGACCTTCGGATAACTAACCGATACCTTAAGTACACATCCAAATAAGGAAAAAGAAATAAAGCGAGTTAGTAGTTCTAAGTCCTTTAAACATTATTTATATAACTATACGTATCTAGACACGCTTTTAACAATTGTACTAGGAATAGTAAATAGTATCTCCTAACTATACCTATTATAGTTGCTAGTAATGTATGTGAATAACTGAAAGTATGCCTTTGCTACCGAAAGGTAGTGAATTGACTAATATAACTTTTATGTCTATATATGTATACATAATATATAACTGATATTTAGATGACATTCGGACAAATAACCGATACCCTAAGGCCACATCCAAACAAGGAAAATGAATTAAAGCGAGCTAGTAGTCCTAAGTCCTTTAAACATTACTTATATAACTATACATATATAGGCATGCAATTGACAATATAAAAGTATAAAAGAAGTTTTAATAAAACCTTTGAAAAGTTTAATAAATAAGAATTTATGATTTGATGTCAGTTTTTAAAATAATTTGAAAGCATTTTGTTTGATAAGAACATTTTAATGTATAAGAAATCATTTGTTTGAAACATAGATACAACGGAGTTTGAAAGGAAAGATATTAGTTCGAAATATAGTTTGATAAAGAGTTTAGTATGAAAAGATGTTTTGAGAAATCATTTTGAAGTAGTATACTTGGTAAAACAGCTAAAAGTGTACT